AACTACCTACAAAAGTTAACATATGATAAAGTTTATAAAATAAATACACTCAGAATTGTATAATATAAAATTGACCATGTGTGGGTCTGTTTGCTGAGATAATCGCCCAGAGAACAGCCAGGTTTATTTTGAGGTTGGGTTTCCTTGTAGTAGGTGGTGCCTATCTCACTGGACAACACACAAGAGGCCCGTTGAATGCCATCCAGAGCAATTAGAGTGAAGTTTCATGCCCACAGAATTAAGACAGAGCAGAACAGTCCTCAGCTTCCTGAGAACACAATCCACCACACGGGTCGGAAACGTAACAAAAATGACAGATATTCGTAATCCGATCAATGTCCAACATTGTAATGGAAAACGATAATCAGAGAGAATGATCTCTTCCGGATTCCACACAACAGGATGCTCGCATTATCACTGGGTCAACCCTGAGTGCAAGTCAGTGTATTTCGTAACGGGAGAACACGTTAGAATAAAAGAATTGCATTCTATTGTCAATTATTGCAAGTAATTATACTAATACCATCTTCAAGATCCACTTCAGACATCTGATATTCGAAGAATCCAATTAAATGGAATCAAATTGTAGATCACATTATAATTCCATGAATCTATGTTTTCTTGACCTCTAGTTGAATATCAAACATGAAAATTTTCGTTACTTTGTTGTTTTAATTTCATTTTGACAGGAAATCGAATATCATTGAATATTGCCATAATGTCAAATAAATGCAGACATGTTTAATTTCATCTAAATATTGATAGCTCTTTCTGTAATGTGCTTTTGTAACCCTAGTAAATACTAGCCATAATATACAGCTCGGCTAAAGAGAACTTCTTTTTTGATTCAATGGGTTTATTGTCAAGACTAGAACACTCGGGTTCTGGGTTCGAATCATAGCGGAGGCATTGACATTACTAATGACCTCTTTGGCACCTGTGGAAGGACTCGTGATATTTACTAAGCATTGTCACCCATTGCTGTGATCCCTGGAAATTCGAGGACGTGTTCTTTCCTGGAGTGGGAGTATGTAAACCTGGTCAATGCTAGCCGGAATGTAACCTTTGTCAATACTAGCCGCAATATACCGCTCGATTGGTTAAGCATCAGACTAGTCCACCAGAGGTCCTGGGTTCGAATCCTAGCGGAGGCATTGCCACAATGACCTCTGCTGCACTTTTCTTGCTGCGAACCGAGATCACTTCATCCACTGGCAAAACCTATTATGTAAAGCTGCAAAAGTCTTTGGTGTTTTAGTTATGCTTGGAATTATATATATACTGTAGATGAATTTATTCAATCCATTATCTATACATTAACTCTGAATAAGTGGTTGCTGTTTTTGTGTTCATATCTCTCTGAACAACACGCAGGAGGTCCATCGCGTGCGATCTAAAACAAGAGGGGCTTGTCTTATTCTCTATACGAGAGAGAGAGAGAGAGAGAGAGAGAGAGAGAGAGAGAGAGAGAGAGAGAGAGAGAGAGAGAGAGAGAGAGAGAGAGAGAGAGAGAGAGATTTCGACGTCAATGATATTTCGAGCTGGAGTACCTGTATACGTTGTGTATATAACTGACATTGCCAATACAGTTGTTCCAATCACAAGTAGATAAACTAAAGATAAATATTTCAGTTCATAATGTGAAGGATTTTGTGTTCGTGACAAAAGTATATTTCCCTATTGCTCAAGGATGAGATTCTAATATTCACTGTTTCAGGTTTCAGGATTTTGCGACTTTGGTAGCTTTGTGGAAGGGGAGACAACTATGTTTCCCTGACGACGCGTTCCAGTTTTAAAATGAGCTCCGCCCGGGATCTTCATGGTAGCGCCCGAGATTAATCTGTGCGCTTTTATGAATATGTAACATGTATAACTTCCGTTTAAGCAATGTGATTAGATACGATTGCAGTGTATCGTATAAGATATTCTATATATAGAAATGTGAAATATCACAGAAGCAGTGTCAGTTGACTGATATTACTTACAAGCTTTCTTTCTCTAGAAAATCCGTCATGGGTATCCTTCGGATAAGATAATTCCATCAATGACGGCACCAAGTACCCTATCGACATATCGCTAAAACAGATCAATGTTTATAATCATTTTACGGACAAGATTCCTTATTATAATCGTCGTTCTTCCTTTAGAAGAGAAGATGAAAGTTGTCATTGCTGTTTTACTCTTTGTTTTTTTTCTATTTGATTCTTTGTTTAAGAGAAAGCAACAAAATGTGACATAGATATGTTATGATAAAACAGTGCAATCCTTACGGATATGATATCCCTTTGAGATGGACATATTTTCTTCCGAATGTCAAATGGCATAAAGTAGTAGGCCTAAAGCATTCCTGGTTCGGGCTCCACACTAAACAAATCAGATTATAAAATAAATATTAGACACTTGTAACATTTAGTAAAGTATTATAAATCTGGAGGAAAAGTTGTTAAAATTAGAATTCAGCACGTACATATTTTTTATACGATCAACTCACGTGAAAATGTCCATACTTACCAAGAAAGGTCCCAATAAACAGAAGGAACGTAGAATATGGCGCTCACCACGAAAAGACACACCACATCTATAAAATGTACCATTAGAACTACATATTATTAGAAGAGTGACTGATTCTCTCCGCCTGTACTAAATTAATGAATAGTCTAGCAAAGAGTAGGTACGTCACAAATTATCTTATCTATTTTACATATCATGACGTCATCTTATTGTCTTCGTAAAGGAAGCCTCGATGTCTCGGTCGGTAGAACGTTTTGATATATGCTCGGGTGGTTTATATTTCTCAGGAAAAGTATATCATTGCTGTAGTGGTTGTGCGCAAGACATTTTATGGGTAGCATGCCCTGGGTCTTCTTGGCCGTAGTGATGTGGTCACCAGGGACTACATCCCTGACTAATCCAGAAAATACACAAAAACAAACCTTCAATTAATCATTTACTTTTAAAGTTTTTATTGATTTCAATACATCTGCATATTCTTTCGAAGATGTTCTAATTTTCACACTCCTGCCTGAAAATATTAACAATCCTATTATATTTTCATTTTCCATATTTCTCAAGTTAAAATCACTTGGAAACATAGGAATTTTTCTTACTGGTTTTAACAATTAAATTCCACCTTTTTGTATTTGTTTCCAAAGAATTTAGCATATCCAGTAAACCCTATGTCGTTTCAGCGAGTATTGTCATGTTATCTGCGTGCACTTAAGGGAACAAATTTAGAGCTGAATTTCATTAGAAGAACATTTGTCATTTAAAAATTGTACCTGAACATTATTAACATAGAAAACAATAATGGTGATGAAAGTTCCACTTGAAACAATCCATTTTCACAATTGAAAAAAAATGGCCATTACGTTTTACGTAACATTTAACACCACAGCGACCTAATTAACAGAACGATCTTTCATCGATTCCGTCTCGGGTTAATTCAAACCTCACACAGATCCTGACGATTGACGAAACAAACGCTTTAGTATAATCGATAGAACAAGAGTCTCATGTATAATCACTTCTTGTTTTTCAGAGTTCGGTTTGTGTTTGTAATGTCGAAGTATTGCGTCAATAGTAAGATTTGTCTAGAGACCAAATTGAGCATCATTGATTTGATAATATTTTTTATCAGATACCATCAGCCTATTATCGATGACTGATGTGGAAAGTTTACCGAGACAGTATACAGAGGGTAATACCCTGCAATTATTTACATCATTTGCGTGTCCTTTCTTAAACACGTGAACAATACTGCACTTTTATCGCATTTCTTGAGAATTTGCGTATTCATGTGTACAATGAAATGAAATAACAAAGCATGGTGAAAACAACGTCGTACAGTTAAATGTAAATGCATTTAAAGGCCATCAGGACCACGTGCCTTATTTGTGTTTCATTTGTGTGTGTGTTTTATTATGATTTATCAAAAACTAACTCCTCAAATGGTAATTTTGAAAAGTCAACATCATGATTTTTTCAAAAACTCACAATTCACATTTTCCGATTAATGTTTGGCTTAATTGGGACCAACTTTTTGAAGTATCTAAAGAAAGCAAGTTCTTTTAGATAACATGTTTCTATTTTTACTCACGTTTCCTGAAATGTTTACGAAAATTCTGAGAAATACATTTTCTCAAATAGTTGCACATGTTATCCTGGTGACATCTGTACTCAATGTAAAGCTTGTGTTAAAGTTTTTATCACTTTTAACTTTAACAAAATACTTTTTATAGTCAATATGCATTCTCTTACGTATGATATCAAAGCATGGTTTATCTGCATATCTTCTCCAAAGTCTACGTTTCTTGCATCGCTGAATATAATATTCTTGGCACACGTATAAAAAAATAAAATAAAATAATTTAATTCGCCTACTGATTAACATTCGTAATAACGCTATCTTTGTCTAAAATCAGAAATATTACAAATATCTAAGAAGTCAGGAATATTGTCCTCTTTCACTTCACAGTATCATCTACTTAATCATCATGTCTTGCTACTCTCATTCACATCACGCTCACATTCATCTTGCCTCCTGTAACTCTCAATAATAGCTTATAGTGTTATGCACATCTTTTTTCTGATTTTCCGTGAAAATATTTAATATCCTTCCTATCTTTCATAACAATTACAATAAAGTTGATTATGTTGTCAGCTGTTAAAATATTTCAAGGTAAAAAACACATGACAAAGAATTTAATTCTGTTTGACAAAGGTCGTGCGTCCTCAAATAACCACCAGTTCTGACGTGACGTATCACACACATTTCGTGTGTTTTGTAAGACTTCTTGCATGTGCTGTCAATTGCTACAAACACATATATTTATTTTTGCGATGTCTTTATCTAGTAAAATATATGTAAAACGTGAAATTGTAAGCTCTATTACACTACAAGATATACTGAATTATCTCCCTTTGTATGGTCGGTTATTCCCTGGTATTCGGTGAGCTTTTCGGTGGAGTGCGCATGTGGTACAGACGGTCCCGGCTAAGCGTCCGTCAGAAACTGTTTCCATCCCGAAGGAAGAAGGACCCAACCCACCAGTTTACAGACATTGTCACGGGTATATAAGGAGGTAAGTAACACCTTTTCAACATCATCGGGCACACATCACATCAGAATGCAGACAGTTTATGTATTATTCGAAGTCAACACCAGTTGCAGGCGATTTGAAAGCTGCCGGCATTATTCGGAAGTCTAATTCCGGTTTCTTATTTCATTTCACTGGTTGATTGACCATTTTTGGCACAACCTGATTGGGTTAGCGCGCTGATCGGATCATAGATGTCGGCTGAGGTCAGACTGTTCTACACATCTGTCTATTAATTAGAGGATGGAACTTAATTCCTTGTCATTAATTAGATTGAGTTGAAATCGAGTATTTATTTATAAGTGGGCGTTCAGTGTTATTCCCAGACACTATACAAATTATTTTGGGGGATTTTTCAAAAGTTAATTGAATTGATTAAATGTGATAATGTTAAACTGGCATTGACACTTTTAAACAAATTTTACACTTATACACATATAGTGCCTAAAGTATTGTGATCAACATTGAAATATAATGTTTCAAATTTTATTACATTGCATATATTATGTACAAATAGTGGTGAATAATTTTGTATACCTTAATTTTGTATAAGTAATTTTGTATATGTTCGTTTTTAAGTGCAACAACTATAAAACCATTATTTTTGGAAATACTATAACAATGCATTTGTTTTTACATCAGTGTTTTTCAACATGTATGCTATTGAAATGAGTGTATAGTTAACATAACAAATGCTTTTGTATGTCTAGTGTAAACACATGATCAATGAAGTGTTACCAATGTATGACAGTGGTATTAGCCTATGAACTGAAATATTTCACATTAATTGTCTGACCATATCTTAAGATACATGAACAGATGACTACTGAAGGAGTTGCCAAATCATGTCATAATGGATAGTGCTCAGTTACAGTTTTTCAGTTTTTACAAATAATGAAATACAAATAAACAAAAAAAAAATAAAAAACTTTAATAATAAAAGATAGTTATTAATCAAAAGCGTAAAATTTGCCAGAAAGTCAAAAGATTTGTATAATTGTCTGCTATGTCTACCAGCTCTGTTAAATGAATACAATATACTACAACAACAAGCATTATATACTAGTAGTAACACTGTCTAGACTTACGTTCTAGACCTACCTGTGACCTCAATGTGCTTTGTAACATTCCTGACAAGTATGTTGTACCTGTAAGGGAAGAATCTAGCAGTAATTATCAGTACTAGTCTGATCAGTGTTTAAATCAAACCAGAGTAGTACAGCATCTGTACCTAGCCATTAAGAGTTGTCCTGAGTAGTGATAACACCTCACACATTGGATCTACTTCTTAGTTTGAAAAGTCTGATGCTTTTGTGATTTGGCTATTATTGTCATTTAAGTGATTTTTTTTTCATTTTATCCATCATCAACATTTTGATATGAAACAACTGTGGCAACATATAGCTGTAATAGTGAGTTTGTATTAATTAGTGTACACTTGTGTACAATACACATAAGTATATGTATGTATCATGATAATTGCAGTATATCTGGAGTACCTGTAAGTGTACATGATAATTAGACATGATGTATGCTGTATGAAAATGACCCTACAATAGAAAGTGGAGAAAGATTCAACAGTGCTTAAAGAGTGTGGTTATAGAGTGTCTGGTACAAATCTGTGACACTTTGTTATCAATTAGGAAATCTCTTACTATCATGTTACAACAAAACCATTTTTGGCTCTTAATTTCAACTGGAATAAGCAGAGAAAATAGATTTTAATTTATAATTGGTTCAAATGCAGATGCATGTTGTTTTATTCTTCTTTCCTGATCTGATGCCTGGTTTTTCTTCTGCACCAACACCGAAAAGAAGTCTTGGATAACTGTCTAGTATGGAGCTAAAAAGCAGCTCTAAACTGTGAATTCCCTACCACCAATTCTTTTAGGATCATCCCCATCCAATCATCTTTATCCGAGTCTGTGTCCAAAAATATTGGATTCTGCATACTTCTAAAATTGCTGGAACCCCTATATTGAAATAATGTGGATAGAAGCAGTTTTGATTGATTGTACAACAGACAATTCATCCCTGTAAAGTCTATAAATATTTATATGGATAGGTGAAAGTTCAAGCGACTCTTGCATATCTGCGACCATCTGTGACGTTGGGACATACGAGGCTGTGATATGTTTGTGCGCTGTGGTTGTTGTTTATTGATTATGTATTTGAGATTGACTTCTATCTGTCGAGGTGTCAATATATACAGGTATTCTGCTATTACTAGAACCTGTTTTGTTGTCTGCGGTAAAGCCATCACTAAATGTGTGAGGTTTTTTTTGTTTTTCTATTGATCATGTTATCTGAACCATCTTACGCATTCTGAAGATTTGTTCAGCCATGATGATCAGTTGTCATGGATACATGGTCATATGAGAATTGTCCGATATACCATCTGCTCAATATGCAGGTGATTTAACGTTTATCACTATACATAAAAATGAAAACATAGTAATTCTTGTGCAATGTTAGAAAAGTCTTAAACCACAATTATGTATTGGTACATATGACACTGCAAAACATTTACAAGTCAGGATTGTGACCTGCCTTATAAAGCAGTATTCAGACTGTGAGTTTCAATAAAGAAGAAACTTGATGTAATTTTAACTCAAATATCATCACACTGAATAATTATAGGCAAATATATACCATAATTACCCTCAAATGATACCCTCCTCTCTCTCTCTGCCAAGTAGAAGATTAGAATTAAAAGTGTTTGGGGGAGGGCCTGTTTTTGAACTATGCTTTTAAGCTTACTATTTTAAAATTGATGAGTCTGCAAAATTGAAGAAAAGGGTGTATTTAAGGATAAACTTGGTAGATATAATTAATGTGAGCAATACCGGTTTGAAAATGTTAATATCTTGATTTAAGAAAGGAATACAGTAGAAGTATCTTGCATATTCTCTTAGTATAAATGCACAAATATAAAGTTAATAAGTATAAATATATATATAAATGTAGTGTAACTGAATAAGTGGAAGTTTCCAATATATTTCAAAACAGCCATATATAAGAGTTCAGTTATGTATAACCTTACAGTTTTACTGTTGGTTTTGTCTGTTTCTCCTTCGTTGTGGTAGATTCTAGGTCTTCAGTTGAAAAAAGATTGGAAGGTTTGGTTATTTGGCAAATTACCTAACAAGATGTTTACTGGAAATGTTCTCTGAAATATTACACCTCGAGCGTCATAGGTATTGGTTGGTGATGTAGTGTGGGTGATGAGGTATACGTAGAAGAAATGTATAAGGAGAAGGATTGTGTTTCGACTTTTGGTGAGTGTACATCACCAATACCAGTTTCAGAGCTACATCAACAACATTCTTCGAGTGGAAATGATTTTGTGTTTCCTCCAAGTTGTATCATTCACCTCTGGGTGAAAATTAAACCTTGTCGTACAGAACTCAAACATAAAGCAAGAATCGTAAGGGACAGAGATGGTACTTTTCATATTGATATGGAAATGCCATTCTTGTCTCCTTCAAGTGTCAGGATTACATTGCCAGCTCATATCATTATCCAACATGCCTGGTACAAGTCACCTCATCAGGTAGTGAATTGTTTTATGTCAGGTCACACAAGATTTGAAATCAACTTACACTTACTTAATTTGACAAATATATAGTCTAGATATTATTTCTTAAAGGTGCAAATATTTCATTACACAATATTGCAGAAAAGTTTGTAACTGAACTTTTTTCTGAAAGCAATGAAGTTATGGAACTGGTATAGAAGCCCTACTACTGTGTACTTTATTGGGACTTTATTTAGGGCTGTAGGGTCTAGCTAGTCTGTTTAAACTGTTGAATCAATGTAAACTTTAGTGGGAGTTTAAAAACTCCAATGAGGTCCTATATAAGTTGACAATATGATAGTACAGGCATTTAATGCATGGGAGTTTGTCATATAAATTGGGTCTGTTACAGTCTATCATACCGGTCAAATCACCACAGGAAGTGACCACTTCACAGTATTTACTGGCTTGTTCATGGGTTACTTTGTGTATTTAAGGCGTGTTGTGAAAAACCTTCACAGTTCCTGTATTATTTTCTTTTCCTGTCACAAATTATATTGCATGCTTTTATAATTTCAAGGAAAGAAAGGAGAATTCAGTCAAATCTTGATGTCTGTAATCCAGTTGTGTCACTTGATGTGGCTGTGATAGTGATGGTGGTGTATGTCCTGTTTTGTATAACTGTGATGAAAGCATCAAATCCCTGAACAACAAATATAGTTATCAGAAAATGGGAAAAAGTGAGATTAAATCTAAATGTCTGTAAGGAGTAAAGTACCAGACAGTTTTAGTGGAAGAAAATAGAAAAAGAACAATTTATTTCTTCCTAAACTGCTGGTATCTGATGTTACCAGTGGTGAAGGAACAGGAAAAAACATTTTTAAAGTAATAAAAGTATGCTTAACTGTAGCTTCATTAAGAATTCAGACTTTGTCGAGATGATGGCACTTGACATTGCGTCAAACCTATTGAACATCACTACTGGAACAATGATTATGTAGGTCTTTGGTTGCGTGTACGTGATACTATATCTATTCTGCAGTTAGCCCAGAGGAGACCAAAAGTGACTAAAAGTCAGTGGCTTGTTACAGCACAGTGAAATAGCTAGCTGTTTTTAGTATAGTTTGATTGAACTCCATTAAACATGGATAGGCTTTCCATCTCATTTTTTCAGGTAATTTGAATAATAAAAATTGAAAAAGAAAACTCTAAGTAAGATATTTTAATTCTTTACATATGTCCAGCACATTTTTGTCAGATAATAATTTTTTCATTTAATTAAGTTGTGGTAATTTTCTGGAAAATATACCTGAATTCTAAAGAAGAATTACTGTAATTCATTCTACTGACAAATCCCTGGCAAAAATGTTGTGAGTGTCTGTATAACTCGTCAGTAAGTATCAGCATGCATACAGGGTTACCACACATGTAGGGAGATCATTATACGGCTGAGTGATGCTGCCTCACT